ACCATGAGATAAAATGATTTGTCTGAAGGCCTTCACTGGGCTGTTTTCCCATTCCCCACCCTTGCCAGTTCTCAGCTTGGAAATGTATGTGAATCTGAGACAAAGCAAAGAACCCTTCTTTATATCTACATAGTACACATAATTCATGAAACTCTTTACTGCATGGTAAACTACAGGAGAAATATTCATAAAGCTCCAAAAGTTGTTCAGAAAAATTTGGAAGCAATAATTCATGAATTTTAGTAACAGAACATCCACTTGTGGAAACACCCCTAATCTTTGAGGCAATCACGCATGAATGCTGTAAAGCCTCTGGGCTATATTCATGGATCCAACATTAGAACCAGGATGATGGCCGTGGTGCAGTGTGCAACAGCTCAGGTAGCAGAAACTGGATTGGGACTCTGCTTTCCCACAGGAGGAAGGATCATAATTGTTGGATGGGCTTAATATTGAGGATGCCTTTGAGGAATCGCTACTGTTTCTATGCAAATCTCTATCTTTTTTACCCTCCAATTCTGTTTTCCAGTCCAGTCCCCATGTGGCTCAGCAGAGCACTCACCCACAATGTCTTCAGCTCCACAGAGACTCAGCACGGTGGTCAGGGCGAGGGCCCCCCAAATCAGGGCTCTGTTTAGGGCCATCCTCTTCTCAAGGTGGTCTCAGCAGTTGCTGCTCTGAGTTGTAGAGCAATGATGAGGACCAAGCTGAGAAAGAAATCTATTTAACACCCAAACCAAACCCTGCAGGTCAGGTTCTAGCCAATCAGAAACCCTCTCTGTGATGACACCTCAGTTGCTAGCTGAAGAGTGTGTACCAGGAGGCCTGACAGGAACTGGGAAATCCCGGGTTCTGAGGTTCTGATGCAGTGTCCACTCTGAGTGGACCTGAGGGAATTCTCCATGAAAGGAGGGAAGGTATGAAATAAGAATCTCCTCTCCTGTGTGTGCCTGCTGGTTCTCACAGACCTAAAGAACCAGAACATGAACATTGTCTGAGCCACAAAAACGGCCAAGCACACCTCTCTCCAGGGGAATGACTGCTGCTCCTTTTTTATTATTATTTTAATTGATTGGAGAGAGAGAGAGAGAGAGAGAGAGAGAGAGAGAGAGAGAGAGAAAGAGAGAGACATCCATTTGTTGTTCCACGTATTTACACTTTCATTGGTTGCTTCTTGTATGTGACCGGAGACTGAACCCGCAATCTGGGCATATCCAGAGGAGGCTACCCGGCCATAGCTGACTGCTGCTTCTCTACCAATCAGAGCTCTAGCTTCAGTATCGCTTTCCTTCTTTCCTTCCTTCCTTCCTTCCTTCCTTCCTTCCAGGTGAAATGTATTAAGATGCCCAATTATAGAACTCCCTACTCCAGCACCCACTTCCTGAAAGAATCCCATTAAGGACAAAGTCTCTATTTCTCAAATCCTTTCCAAGATCACCTACAAGCTCAAACCCTGAGGTTAAGGATCAGCTTTATGTGTCAGCTAGGTTATAGGCCCCAGATAGTCAATCAAATGTTGATATCTTGTAGATGTGACTAACGCCCACAGTTCACTGACTGACAGAGGTCATGCTGGATAATGTGACTGAGCCGGATCCATCAGCTAAAGAATCCCTGGCACAGAGTGAGGCTTCCCTGAGGGAGTGGATTCTGCTCTGGGCTGCAGCTTGGGCTGGGCCGAGAGTTCCAGCTGCCCCTCCTGACAGAGGTCTGCCCTGTGGAGCTTGGATTTGCCCAGTTCCCCACAACTGTGTAAACTAGTCCTGCAGGAACTCTCTGAATAGACATCTCCTCCTGATTCTGCTTCTTTGGTTCTAACACCCTCTGACCAAGATGCCTCACAATTCCCCAAAGTGAGTGTCTCCCTCACTGCGGTGACATAACATCAGCTTGTTCACCCACAGGTGTGCTCCCCATGGCCTTTGGCTGGGGGCATTGACTGTACCCCGTTAGGTTGTTGTGAGGATATACACATACTGCACTTGGAATGAATTCCTAGGACTCCTTAAATATACGTTTCATGCTCTAATACCAGTCCTATTTTATAAGGAGGACCTTGAAGCACAGAGGTGAGGTGCCCAGGCTCACACAGCTGGTAAGTGGCAGAGATAAAATTTCACGAGGCAAGCCATGCAGCCTTGTTGTGAAAGGGTGTCCTTCTGTGTGGATTCAGAATCAAGTGTCCAGAAATAATTAGGATAGAAATTTGAACCTATAGGTGGCCTTATCATTTTCTGGGAGGCCTGCTGTTGCAAACCAAGAGCTTCTTACTTGAGCCTCGCTGGCATGGCTCAGTGGTAGAGTGTTGACCTATAAACCAGGAGGTCACAGTTAGATTTCCAGTCAGAGCACATGCTGGGGTTGCAGGCTCCATCCTCATGTGGGGGGCATACAGGAAGCAGCCAATCAATGATTCGCTCTCATCATTGATGTTTCTATCTCCCTCTCCCTCTTCCTTCCTCTCTGAAATCAATAAAAATATATTAAAATCATTTAGACACTACTCAGGTTTGTTGTAATTAATATTTATAACATCTCTAAAAACCTGTACATTTTCAAATTCTTTAGTTCTGACTTCCAGCTACTTTGCCCCAATATAGCCCTGCTTATGAAGCATTGGAGCTTCTACTCCAAAGACCAAGACCTCCACCATTGCAGTCATTAAAGATGCTTCACAATAAGGCAGAGCCCAGAGTGGCAAAGTACAGGAAAGATGGGCTTTGTAATCAAATTACCAAGTACTCAGTACTGCTTCTGATTTCATCCATTGCATCAGCTTGGGAAAGTCACTCAAAATACAGGAGCCTTAGGGTTCTTTCCTATAAATGGGGTGAAAACTCTGATAGTTACTATGATGACATGAAATTATAATATTTACAAATTGTAAGGTTGTTTATTGTATTTTTAAATAATTCTTTGTATGTCTGTGGGATCGGTTGCTAAGTCACCTCTTTCACATCTGATTTTGTTTATTTGTGTCCTCTCTCTTTGTTTCTTGGTGAGCCTGGCTAGAGGTTCATCAACCTTGCTTATCCTTTCAAAGAACCAGCTCTTTGATTTCAGAGAGAAAGGGAGAGAGAGACATAGAAACATCAATGATGAGAGAGAATCATCAATTGGGTGCCTTCTGCATGTCCCCGACTGGTGATCAAGCCCACAACCCAGGCATATGCCCTTGGCTGGAATTGAACTTGGGACCCTTCAATGTGCAGGCTGATGCTCTATCCACTGAACCAAGCCAGGTAGGGCTCCTAACTGATCTTTATTATTTCCTTCTGTTTACTCTGGGCTTTTCTTTTCTTTAAATTAAATCTTTATTGTTCAGATTATTACAGTTGTTCCTCTTTTTTTCCCCCCATAGCTCTCCTCCACCCACTGCCCACCCCACCCTCTGCCCTTACCCCTCCCACTGTCCTCATCCATAGGTGTACAATTTTTGTCCAGTCTCTTCCTGCACCCCCACACCCCTTTCCCCCCAAGAATTGTCAGTCCACTCCCTTTCCATGCCCCTGGTTCTATTATATTCACCAGTTTACTCTGTTCATCAGATTTTTTATTCACTTGATTTTTAGATTCACTTGTTGATAGATATGTATTTGCTGTTCATAATGTTTATCTTTACCTTTTTCTTCTTCCTCTGGGCTTTTCTTGTTCTTCTCTTTCTAATTCTTTAAGTTGTAGGGTTAGAAAATTTATTACCAGTTTTTCTTGTATATTGAGGTAGGACTGTAGAGCTATGAACTTTCCTCTCAGGACTACTTTCACTGTGTCCACAGATTTTGGATTATTGTGTTTTCATTGTCATTTGTTTCCAGGATGCTTTTTATTTCTTCTTTGCTCTCTTTCCTAACCCATTCATTGTTTAATAGTATGCTATTTAGCCTCCAAGTGTTTGATATTTTTTCATTGTTTTTTTTGTAGTGGATTTCTAATTTTATGACATTATGATCTGAGAAGATGCTTGATGTAATTTCAATCTTCTTTTATTTGGAGAGACTTAGCCTGAGTCCTAATATGTGGTCTATCTTTGACAATGTCCCATGCGCACTTGAGAAGAATCCATTGTTTCTGGGTGAAATGTTCTGAACATGTCAATTAGTTCTATCTGATCTATAGAGTCATTTTGGATTGCTGCTTCTCTGTTGACTTTTTTGTCTAGAAGATTTATAGATTTATGCAGTGATGTCAATAGGGTATTAAAGTCCCCTACTATGATTGTATTGCTGTCAACTCTTCCTTGAAATTTTCAAGAAGTTTTTTTTTTTTTTATGTATTTGGGTGCTCCTGGATTGGGTGCATATTTATTTACTAGAGGTATATCCTCTTGGTGTATTGATCCCTTTAGTATTATGAAGTGTCCTTTCTTATCTCTTGCTATGGCCTTCACTTTGAGGTCTATTTTGTCAGATATAAATGTTGCTACTTCAGCTTTTCTTTTTTTCATTTCTGTTTGCCTGAAAATTTTTCCCCCATCCCTTCACTTTCAGTCTGTGTGAGTCCTTTGTTATGAGCTGCGTCTCTTGTAGACAGCATATAGATGGGTCCTGTTTTCTTATCCATTCAGCTAACTTATGTTTTTTTTTTTTTAAATACATTTTATTTTTTACAGAGAGGAAGGGAGAGAGATAGAGAGTTAGAAACATCGATGAGAGAGAAACATCGATCAGCTGCCTCCTGCACATCTCCCACTGGGGACGTGCCCGCAACCCAGGTACATGCCCTTAACCGGAATCGAACCTGGGACCTTTCAGTCCGCAGCTCGACGCTCTATCCACTGAGCCAAACCAGTGTTAGCAAAACTTATGTTTTTTTATTGGAGC